CTTAAATAATCTAATCTTGAAGTTCCCTTCGTTTTAGAAAATTTCAAAATGATTCGAGAAAGTACCGATTTTAGAAAGATTTAGAAAATAAAAATCAGAATAATACTCGTGTGCTTGATTATATACATTACATATAATAAAAAAATTAGGTTCGTGAAAACTATTTAATTATATCCACGATGTCAATATACCCCTGAAATAATATATCATTGAACATTCTCTATTATTTTAAAAAAAAATCTTTGCCAAGGAACGTATAATTGGAATTAAAATTTTTGATTTTTGATTATATTGATAGGGGTGGCAATATGTTACTGAAACTTTCATTAGGACACTGAGTTAAAAATATAAATCTGACGTTTGTTCTTCTTAATTGCAAGAAAAAGTATAGCATGTTATACTAGATATGCTCTATTCAAATTTCTGTATTTTACCTTATACAACATCTTTCTATTAAAATCCTCCAAAAAACAGAAAAAAATAGCTTTCTTTCTTTTAATCATACAATTTTCTTCGTTCAAAGCGTTAAATGTTAAAAAATTGTATGGTTACTTTTTTAAAATTCTCCCATACTCCAATTTTTTCAAATCCAGTATTTCAAACAGTCCACAAATCAAAAGCACGATCTTGTAAACATAAATCTATCTCTCCGAAGGCCAGTCGTATTTACTGTCGCGAGAAAAAAAAGAAGCAAAGAACAATAAAAGAATGAAACGTGGAGAGGAATTTAGTCTCATCGATCGAAACGTACGATCAGGTGGAAACGAGTCGCCGAGAGATCGAGAGAGGTCGAGAGGATGAAGAAAAAAAAAAAAAAATGTAATTATCGAGCTAGCGAAGAGTGGCTCCCACGAACTAATGGCCGCGGGGGTAGCGGTGCTTTCTGGCCAGATGCTTCTGTTTTAAGGGTGTCTCTCGAGATACAAGGGTTCGACATTAACGCCGAGCCTTCTGTCGATGAAGGGGGAGGACAAAGCGAACGACCGGCCAAAACTTGCTTCGTACAAGTTGGACCGTGCAAACCACGCGACAAAGGATGGGATTCGAGACGAATTCGCTAGGCATGATCGAACCTGGGACACCCAGTGCAAACTATAGTGGAATAATCTATAAGTACATTAACAGAGTTTTTCCAGTTCCATTCCGTGATATGTGTACAGTTTCGTCACTTAATTTTTATTTACATCGATTAATATCGACTTTTGTTTAATTTATATTTTATATTAATTGTCACGAATTGGTACAAATAATATTTCTTCAGTCTGATTAAAGATCTGTTCATCTTCCAGAATTATAACGATTAATCTAGTCTCCTTTCCACGATAATCCGATCGCTTGTTTCACAATTTAAACTGCGAAATTACACTCATAGAAGAAATTGCCATCGAATTACCACGGGAAAAATGTGACAATTTTGTGGGAATTCAAAGTTGTCGAGGCGATCATTTAGTGGTCGGACATAGTTCTTAACTTTATGTAATGTCAGCGAGCTTGTCATCAAGTCGAAAGGAAAGATCCACCCGGTAATTCGCCGACAAATGTCAAATTATCGAATTATCTTGTATCGGAAGAAACAAATCACCACGAAGATTTATAAGAGAAAAACCGGATGGTCAAGCCTTCAATTGCTTAAACAACGAAAGAGACTAGGTTTTGATACTCGTCTTTTTTTTTACTGTACATTCTCTTCATTATTTTTATCTTTCTTTGACTTCTTTTATAATTAAAAATTCAAGTATGCACGTGAAATTTTTATTTGTTGCAACGTTGTTCGCATTGGTGGCATGGAAACCAGCCGAAAGTGTACGTTTCTTTGATTTTTACGAGGGAATTCATTTGTTTGAATATTGGTGAAGGTATTCATCTCTTTGGTGACCCGTGGATTTTGCGTTTATATAAAATAACGGGAATTAGATACGTTTATCGTGAATATTCTTCCAAAAAAAATATTCGATGAAGTATTTTATCATTCTAAGATATTTGAACATCGCAAAACGAAGAAATTTAAATATTTGAAAATTAAGATATCTGATGTTCAAAGCGTTGAAATATTAAGATGTTAAAATGTAAGATATTTTCAGACAGAAATCTCAAAGTTCAAATACTTGAAAATTGTCGATACTTGATACTTGAAAAGTATACATTTAATGTTCGTGACGCTGAAATTTACGACGCTTAAAAAATCGAAAAGCTTAGACGTTCGAAGATCGGGATAACCGAGCCAATTTAAAACGTTGAAATTTTAAAATATCTTCAGCTGTCTCAAGAGCAAATGGACAAAATGGCAAAGGGTTTGCGGAAATCTTGCTTGCAGAAGATCGATGTATCGGAAGGTGAGTGAAAAAAAAACTCGAACGAAATTGAATCGAACGAGGAGGGGATGATTAGATTCTTAATAAAATTCATTCCATAGACAAAGTCGACGGACTGAAAAGGGGCGAATTTCCTAACGATGACCAGAACCTCAAGTGTTACACGACCTGCATCATGAAATTATTACGAACCGTAAATACAAAATGAAATAACTAATTTTCAACTCCGAGGTTGTTCGTTGTAACTGATCGACGTTCTCAATATTTGTTCGTCTAGTTTAAAAACGGGCAGATCGATTTTGCAATGGTGGTGAAGCAAATCGAGCTAACGATGCCAGAAGAAACGGCAGACGTAGTAAAGGAAGTCGTAAGAACATGCCAGAAATTAGGTAAGATCATTGAATATTTGAATCAATAAACTATAATAAATCAATAAACTATAATTAGATAGATATAATTAGATAAATAGATAGAATATAGAAAAGATATGATTGTATCTAAAATGATTGAAAGAACAGAGTCATAAATTTTAGTTCGTAACAAATAAAACTTGCATATCATCGACAATTTCAGATATTTGCACATACAAGTATATTAATATAATAATTATATAGATATATATTAATAGTCAGTATAATAATATCGTACTATAAATAGTATTTATAGTACATACGTTATACTATTAATTTAATATACCATGTGCAAGACATATTACGAAATACAATTTACAATATTCGTATCTTAGAAAAGACACGAGCATATAATTTATCTCCCTTTAAATTGATGTTTGATCAATTTAGATGCCTCTCAGACACATTCTCGTCATAAATTTTGCACCGAAAGTAGCTACCTTCTTTTTAAACTGTCCATCTCTTTTTTAAATCCTGTTGTATGCAGAATACACCGGCGATGACTGCGATAAAACGTACAAACTGATAAACTGCTACTACACCACGAATCCAGAAATGTTTTTCTTCCCTTAACATGATCGACGCCAATACGATCTTTCGAAGAGACACATACACACATATACACCCACGCAAATTTATGAAATTCCAAGCTCGATAATGTCACACGATAGGAAACGAGCAAACGGTAGAAATCGATACATAACAAGTATAGGAGAGTTTATTTTTAAGAAATAATTACAAGATAACATTAACAATTTATATCACAATAATACCATATCACTTGTCAGTTGCATATTTTACACTTAATTTAAATTGTACGTCATTTTATTTCTTTCTTTTATAATATTAAACTATGTCTGATTTCTGACAAATAAAATGTTAAAACATGTAAAACAAAATTACGTGAAAATGTTTCCAAGGAAAGGAAATATTTGGAAGCTTCGTCGATGAAATCTAATATTGCAATGTTACAATCTAATATTGCTTTATTAGAATTATTCATAATAAACCAACACAGAAATAATTATTAATATAGTAATTATTAATCCCCAGATTTTGAGTTACAGCAAAGTTTTAATCGAATTGATTTCTATGCGGGGAGATCATCCTCTTCTCCTCATTCTCAGTCTTCCATTTTGTCTACTTAATTTTAGCCGAGAAACTTTCTATCGGAAAATCGATTCTTCAAAGCTGGATCTCCCCTTGACGAAAAACAACGATTCGCAATAATTTCCGTCAAGGTCCTTATTCCGCGATAAACATCTTTGCTTGTAATTTGAATTCTTTAAACACAGCTGTTGTCAACGTCATGTCGGGATGATAAATTACACGAAATACGGCTAACAATTAGCGACGACATGCATAACGATAATGATACTGCATCCAAATCGTGTATGTCGCTCGGAAGAAATAATTTTTCGAAAATATACCGTATTCAAAGTTGACAGTTTTATTTATTCGTTCACAGTTGCTTATTAACTCTCCTCGTTTCTTTGTTACATTGTATCTCTTACTCCACTTGAATAGATGCAGCGAAATGATAGTGAATACTAAAAATACCAAATATTTAGAAACTTTGTGCTTTAAAAATATATCTAATAGAGAAGACCAGCAAGATTAGCTCGTAATTAAATTTATTTTCACGAGTTCTTCGTCTCGAGCAAAAATTATGATAAAGCAAAATACAAAACAAAAATTAGAAGTAGAAGATGGTAATGTCGTTTAAATTAGCAATTATTGTCATACATTATCATGAATATTATCATGTTCATAGAAAATACTACGCGTATATTGTACGTGTATTGCACTATCATTGGACATTGAGAGCTATAATAATAATTTCATTTTTAATTTGATTGAATTTTGTGACTAATCTCCTTGTAATTAAGACAAACGTAAAGTACAATGCGGAATTAATTGTGTCAAACATTTTAATAATATAATACACATTATTACAATTGTTCATAAGTTACATTAGCAACGTTTTGATTATATTGGTAAAATTTGGGAGCAATTTGAAAATGTACACAAAAATTACAAGATATTCACTGCAAATGTTTTTCATCAAATAAAAAATTCGAACAGCCAATTAAATAATAACATTACGTGATACATAACGTGATATAATAATGGGAAAATTTAATGTTTAGATACTTATACGAAATATCTTCTAGTTTCTCGTTACATCTTTAGATTCGTCTCCACGAATATTATCAATGACAATCATGGTAGTCAAAATTTAATTTCTGCATAAAATTCATTACCATATTAATAATACTAATTAATTGATAATATTGTTTAATCGTGCAATCTGTAACTCGGAACTACAATATCAATAATATTAGTCGCGCAGAAGGGCCAAGGAATCGAAGATTGGAATTAAAAGCGAAACATAGAAAACTAGGAACCAAGTACACGAGACGCGTATATATGGCATAGGATTGTATAACAATTGCATATTTGCGACATAATCCATTACGTAGCGGCGCCACTCCTCCCTTTCCGGCTTCGAAACCTGGAACTTACCCGTTAATTATTAACTGAAGCGGTAATCACGGGTCAAGCCACGCGCAACACTCGCGAAACGCAAAAGTTTCTTCCTTCCCCTACTGCTAGCCATCGGGCGCCGACTATAAAAGGGGGTGCCTCGCGTTTTATCCGTCGAGAAGAATATCGAGAGGAGTGAACGCGCCCGCCGATTTCATCCCGATTTGAGCCATCTGGAAGCTGGAGGAGCTAGCGCCTCAACGAGCAACAACCGGAAGGAAACAAGTTGGGAAGAAGCGAGTACGGAAGAGGCGAGAGAGAATGAAAGGGTTCGGCATCTTCCTGGTGGTCACGTTGGTGCTCGTTCTGATGGCGATCGAGGACGCAGAGAGTGTGAGTTTGATCGATCGATTGTTCGTATTCGAAGGTATGATCCGTTCGAACGCGCGTGCACACCGGCTCTCAACTTTCTTTTACGCACGCAGAAAAAGATGACGATGGACGAGGCGAAGAAAATGATCAAGAACCTGAGGAAATCTTGCAGCAAGAAGAACGACACGCCCAAAGGTACTTTCCGGCCGAACGGACTTTTCTTTTTATCTTTGTTGTTTCAAATAACGCAAACGTGGAAGAAAGCCATAGTCTTTGGATAGACGTGACACGATGAATCGATATCAATTAGAATTAGTTTTAGTTGTAATTTGGCTGATTATGGATATAGATTTTGGATATTTTATGGTGGTACGACTGGATCGAAATCCACGCAGAATGCCTTAAAAATGTTTCTCTACTTGGTTTTTAACTTTCAATTAATTTTTACTTTTTAATTTTTAATTAATTTCTTTCTTCTTCGTTTTGTTCTTCGAGCAGGAATGGAGATTCATTTCGTGTGAATTTTGTTTCTAATTATATCCGACTGATTAAAGGATTATTTTACTTATTATTACTTTTTAAAATTCGTTTCACTACTTTTCACATTACAATATCGAATGATAATTTCTCGTGAAACTTAGTTCGTTCTTTTCGAAGGACTTTTACGTTACGTAACATTTCGGACGTAAGAATCACGCTCTTCTTTATAATTGATTGTTTGCAATGTTGCACCGACTTATAATAGGTTATTACATCTGCAGTGACAGTGATGTTGTTTGAAATCACAGTACGAGATCTATAATTTTTCAAAAAGTATGCTTTGTTTCAAGAATATTAACGCGGTTACGAGGTTTAATGAAATTTAATGAAATTTGATTAAAAATTTAATGAAAATCTCGTTTCCAATTTTAATACTGAGGGATCTTATTTCATTCTAAATGAAATATTATTAAAATTCTTTATAGAAATAAAAACTAATTTGTTTTAGTTAGCGAAGCCATTCATTTCACAGACTGATTTCAAAAATAAAAAAAGAAAAAAAGAAAACGATATAAAAATGGATGGTGAAATTTCGTTTCTCGTGATTACTCTTGATAGAATTATTTTACGAAATTAACAACAAATATTCGGTAATTTTCGTACAGAGCTCCTAGATGGCCAGCATAGAGGCGAATTCCCAAAGGACGAGAGGTTGATGTGCTATATGAAATGCATCTTGATACAAACTAAAGCGGTAATCATATTATTGATATCGAATATATTGCTTTTCAATGGATTAATAAAAAGGAACAAATGAACTTCTATTTTCTTCGTTAGATGAAGAACGACGAAATTTTGTTTGACTTCTTCGTGAAGAACTCCCGTGTAATGATAGTCGAGGAATATGTCGAACGTATTGAAAAAGCTGTTGAACAGTGCAGATCTCAAGGCAAGTATCATTATTGATATAATATAACAAAATATAACGAACAAAAATACTGATTCCATGTATAATTTATTACACTTATTCGTTTTTAATTTTATAATTTATTATAAAACTAGAAGTAATTTATTTCGTACTATAGTAAGATATTTTATATACCTTTTTGTATTATATGAATTTTATAAATTTTTGCAATATTAAATGCACGAATATCTATTTATTTCTAATTATTATTAATGTGTTCGAGAAATTCTGTTGCTCGATGGTATATTTGTTCGTAATAGTATCATTGAATTGGTAATTTTTTTAAAACATTTATCTCGATTAATACAGAAATAATATCTATCTTATTTAAAAATTGCAAAAATATTCGGACAACGAATACATGTTGGGTTTATTGATGAGAAATATACATTTGGAACATTAAAATAGATTATATTTAAATTTAAAAAAAAATGTATAGAGAATGGATAGAGACAATATCCTTACGACATTGAATTGCAACATTATTTATTTACAGTTTCGAAAAGATGCATTAAAAAAGTAAAATTTTTACAAAATTTCTACTAATCAGCATGGCTTTTTCCGATGAAAATTGATCGATTCAACAAGACTGTTATAAACAAATATACGATATACCAGAGCAATAATCTTTTGAACACTACACGGTGTCCGAATATACTCTCGCGCTGACTGTTATTTGTAATTTTTGCAGTGACGGCCACGGACGGGTGCGAGGCCGCGTGGCAATTTGGTAAATGCATCTACGAAACTGACGAGGAGGTGATTTTTCATTTCGATTACACCGAAAATAATACCTTGGGTGCAGTAACTTAACTTAAATCCATTCGTTGAAAATGAAACTCTCCTATGCAACTGAAATTTTTTTCACAAATTTTGCACAAACTCTCTATAAGAATTTTTAGCAAAAACAGAGATCTCTCTTTGGAACACTTTTTTTTTCATCATTTGTTTTTTTTTTTTTTTTTTTTTTTT